GTGAATGCTGAGTGAATCTGACGAGTCATTCAACTTCATTTCTTCATTCAGCAAACAGTGACAACTTCATTCATTCAACCCTAGTAAAGAAGACAACAAAGGCCCCGTCTGGATGGGGCTTGCGTTGAAACGTAGGGAAGCACACAACATATTTAAACACTGCAAGAAACAGACATGGTGCTGTGATTACAAAAGGGGCAAAAGTAATTCCATAGGATTTGGGGGCAGCACCTGTGGCTCAAAAGGGTAGGGCGCCAGCCCCATATGCCGGAGGTGGTGGGTTCAAACCCAGCCCCAGCCAAAAAAAATAAATAAATAAAATGGAAAAAAAAAAAAGTAATTTCATAGGATCTGCCAAAGACAGCGACCATTCTGTTCAAAAGCCCCATACAATATCAAAGTTTTAAAAGACAGCCCTATGTCCTTTGTATATACATAAAGAACTCTCTTCCTTTAGCTTTTTCACATTCAAAGAACTAGCAGTAAAAAATCAACTCTCTTGACTTCAAGACAGTTTTCTAAAAATCAAGAATTCTGGTCAATTAACAGCACCTGATAAGCAAACCAAACACTGTACTAAGAGGGTGTGGGTGTGGTGGGCAGGTGGGGAATGGGTGGTTAGATTTGGCTTTTAGATAAGCCACTTCTCAGTCTCAGGTGTGTATAAGCCACCTGGAGATTTTGGTGGATGTAGGTTCTAATTTAGTGGGTCCAGAGTGGGGCCTAGGATTCTGCATTTCTAACAAGGGCCCCAGGAGCAAACCTGCTGTCCCAGGAAGGCCGAGCTTTGGAAGTGTCTTAAACTCAAGGGAGCCCGAGGCTGTGCTTGCTCCTGCCCCATTAGTACTGAATTCAGAAGAACATCGCTGCCTTGGGACATCATTCCTTATGAAGGCCACCTGTTTTCCTTTTATGTAAGACTCAAATTCCAATATATGACTGTTATGTGAAGACTCTGGACAAAGGGTTTTTTGTTTTGTTTTGTTTTGTTTTGTTTGGAGACAGAGTCTCACTATGTCGCCCTTGGTAGAGTGTGGTGGCATCATAGCTCACAGCAACCTCAAACTCTTGCCTCAGCCTCCCAAGTAGGTGAGACTACTACAGGCGCTCACCACATCACCCAGATATTTTTTGTTGCAATTGCCATTGTTGTTTAGCTGGCCCAGGCCGGGTTCAAACCTGCCACCCTGGGTGTATATGGCTGGCACCATAACCACTGTGCAATGGGCACCGAGCCAGAACAAAGGGTTTTTGATAAATTATTAAATGCCTACAACTCCCTGAAGTGGGTACCATGATTATCTCTATTTTATAGGAGGGAAGACTCCAACCAAGAGATGTCAGGTCACACTAGTGAGTAAGGAAAGAGTTTAAAAACCTGCACTTTACTCCCAAGAGCAAGCACTCAGCCCTTGTGTCTTCCTCACTCTGTTTACATCAGAAGTTTCTTTCCAGCTCTGTCACTGCTTCAGAAATGACTTGCAGTTTATTGTTGCTCTCTTTTCCCAATTGATAGAGCCACCAAAATGACTTGGTTTCCAGAAAACGTAACTAAAATTCAAATTGAGAACTCTCCTGGAATTCAGCAAAGAGATGCAGCGTTTACTGTTAGTATCGGGAGTTTTCTAGTTTTACTTTTTTTAAGGAAGTAATTTCAGTTCATGAAAGATTACGATGGGCTTCTCAGAACTGTCTCAGACACTGTCTCTTCCTCAATGGAATACTTGCTGTTTTATTCCAACAAGGATGCTGAGAAAGTTCCCTAAGAACCACACACCACACTGCAACATACGTGGTCTGGGCACAAATTCCACAGTGTCCTTACCTCGCTCAATTCATGAACTTACTATTATTCTAGTAGGAGGAAACCTAATTTAGTAGCTAACTAAAATGTGCACAAAAACAGTGGCTCTTAAACTCGGTTGCACCCAAGAATCTCCAGGGAGCTTTAAAACACTGGTGTCCTACTCCCCCTGCTTGGGATGGTCTGCTAAGGAGAATCTAATGAGCGACCACAGTTGAAAATCACAGGCATAAAAGACAGAAGACTGCTAAGAGTCATTCTGCAGTCAAAAAAAGGGTGGGAAGATACATCTTCATGCACTATCAGGGTTTTGCCCCCCTACCTGGCTACAGAGGTCTGAGATACATTGTTCTCTAACAGCAAGTGGTTCTCCATAATCAGTGACCAACCTCGAGTTATCCCAGATATCAACAACATTGCTCAAAGCAAGAGTTCTTAACCTAGGGGCGGTGATCTGTGAACTTGGATGGGGGAAAAAAATCAAATCTTTATATTTACTAATATTTCACGAAAGGTCAGCATGTTCTTCAGTTAGGAGTAGAGGCACCAGGCCACAGATCTCCAGTATCTGCAACCACTGGCATTTTCAGGTCACGTTTCGGTTTGGACAGTTTTCTTTAAAGACCCTTTGTAGTCACCACTACTCTGTCGAAGTTGTTCACGAGACATGCTGTTCCATTTAGCTATTTCAGACGATGATGATGATGGACGTATGTTACCATATCATGACACGGTACTTTGATAATCGTATCCCAGTAAAACCTATTCTGATTTAATTGCATTTTATGCACTAAATATTACACAGAGAAGGGGTCTAAATGCTTCACGGAGCCAAGTAGCCCGTGGCACAAGAAAAGTCAAGAGCCTGCTCAAGCCAGCGCCCTAACACACCCGGCCCCGTATTTGCATCCAAGGCCACCCCCAGAAAGAGCGCTCTCAGCAAGGAGACTCCCTGGCCAGAGTGGGGCTAGTTTCCTCCCCGCATTTCCGCAGATGCAGATAAGATTTAGCCTGAAAAGCCGATTCAACTCGGCGGAGAATGGACTTTCTTTCTCCTCAGCTGCCTCTTGCTCTTGGCATTTTAAAGTGCCCAGGCTGCCAGGCCGGTAACGCGAGCCTCTAAATTAATCAAAACACACAGCGCCCAGTTCAAGCCCAGGCGGACAAACTCCGGAGCCAGACAAGCTCTCCTCCGGTGACCCCCGGCCCACAACGCCCCGGGCAGGCGGCCACCGGGCGAACAGCACACTTCCTCCAGCGCCCCCGCCCTCCCCAGGCAGGTGTCCCGGGCCGGGGGCGCCTTACCTCGGCGGGACGCCGCCGCTCGGGGAGCTGCTGCCTCGCCCGCCCGCGGGACGCGCACCTTCGGCGCCTCCTAGCCCAGATCCACCTGCGACCCGCCGCCTCTTCACGGCGCTCTCACCGCCAAATCCGCGACTGCGAGTCGGAGGCGGGGTGGAGAAGGGAAAAGCAGCCCGATGCGCGGCCGCGGGCGCCGGGAGCAAGCTGGGCCTCGCGAGTGCAGACGCCCCGCGCGCCTCCCGCTTAATCTGCGCAGGGCGGCTGGCCACTCCCTCCACCCTGCGCAGCCACCTCCCCACCGCCACCCCCCAAAGTCCCCACCTCCGACCCCTCTACCCGCCTGGGCCCCAGGACCTGGGGAGCATCACCTCTGTAACCCCTTACCCTGGATCCGCGCCCACCTGCCCCGCGGCGCCCGGCCCTGTCTCCTCCTGGGCACGATGCCCGAGTTGAAGGGACACTGCCTGGTAAGTCGGGAAGGAGGGGGTACGAGGGCGGGACCTGAGCCACGTCTTCCCTCCCTTGGAGCCGCGACCAAAAGCCGGGTGGGGAGGGACGGACCACACAGCTGAGCCCTACAAAACCCGCCCTGGACGGCTGGCGAGGCGAGCTCCACAGCCGGGGCTCCCTAACCCGGGTTGCACAGGGGACGCAGTGGCCCGAGAGCCTGCGGGTCCCTGGACACGCTGGGGCTCCAAAGGGGCGCCTATCATGCGCCGCGGCTGGGCGCCCAGGCCGCCGGCGCTCCTGCTGCCGCTCCTGCTGGTGCTCCTGGCGGCGGCGCCCGCGGCCAGCAAGGTGAGTGCGGGGCCTCGTGTCCCTCGCCCCCGCGCGTGGACCCCTCGCCAGGGCGCCCGGGGGACAGGCCGGCCCCACCCACTATCGCGCCGTCCTCCAGCCGCTGCCTGGCCAGTGGCGTTGCTGCGGGCTCCACGCAGGTCCCGGGACTGGCTGTGTGCGGAAGGCAACGGGCGGGATGCCCGGGGAACAGGTGGAATGCGCCGGGCGGGCGGAAGAGGCGAGGAGGGGGCTAGTGCGGTTCCCTAGGCGTCAGGGATGGGGTGAAAGGCCTTCGAAGGCCAGTAAATAAATAAATAGATACACAGATAATCGCCGGGGATGATACGTGAGAACACCGGATGTGGGGACTCACGATGTCCCGTTGGTGAACCAGCGCAGGCAGCCGGGGCTGGCTGAGAGCAGGGACTCTGAGGCTTCCTAGTTACGACCTCACACTCAACCCTGACCGAGTCTCTGGGCGCAGTCTCCTCCTAGTCCAAACTCTTCCCCCAGTGCTCCGTTGCTACAGGTGGAAAAAGCAAATGCTGTCGCTGAAAAATGAGGCGAACCTTAGAAGTAGAGCTCAGGTTGGGATAAATTAAGCCATGTGTCACTTTGATCTGACTTTTACTTGGTATTCTTGTGACCCTGGGTTCATTTACTAAGTCCACCTCCTATTTCTTAATGTTTGCCGTTAAAGATGAGTGTCCTGGGAACGATTATGCCTCCTAGAGTCGATGACTTGATGCAAAAGTGAAATTCAACTTTTCAGATGCTTTGTGTTATTTCTACACTTATAAAACGAATGCGGGTGAGAATATGGTATAGTACATTTCATTTCCAAAGATGAGCAGATGTTTTATAAATTTTATGATTGAGACCACGGTTGAAAATTAATAGTCACAGAAATATTTATTTTGCATGAAAAGAGTTTTAGAACCTATGATCACATATACTCCAAGGTTTTTTGTTTGTTTTATTGAAACTTAAACTAAGACGTTACAGACATTATGGAAGAAAGCACAGCCCTCCGTGACTGCCCCAAACCTCTCACCATTTCTGTCTTCCAAGAGGTGTCCCTTCTGGCCCCTCCCACATTGTTCCTGGTATTTCCCATGCCTCTACAGACACATACATGAACCACAACCTATATAGGTTGTGGTGTGTTTTTCAGCATCATTGATACCATGTGTGCCTTTTGCAACCTACAGGTCTGTCCATGTCAGTATTTAAGATCTGCCTCTTTTCCTTTTTGCTCTGGTGCGTAGTGCTTCTACACTAGGCCAAAGTTAATTGAGCCATTCACCTACTGATACATTTAGGTTATTTACTGTTTTACGTTCTGCAGAATTTTTGTAATCTGCATAATCACTTCGTGCAACTATTTGTAACAAAGAATAGACCCTCCATCCCAGGTAGCTAAACACTGCCAGGCAAGACGGATAAACTCATTCAGATCAGTACAGATTATTTACTAGTTTTAACCAGCAACAAATAAATCCAAAAGAGAGTATGTTTTGCAGGCGGGCCTGGGGAAGAGTTCCCCGCCAGAGTGTGCACATCTCCTGGTCAGAGAGGAAGGATCAAATTGGAAGGGGTGGGGAATAGCTTGTGTAATGGTCAGCTTCATCAAGCAATGCTGTGACTGTGCAACCTCTAATTATGCCATTTGCGATTTATTGTTATATTCCCTTAGCATTTTTTGCATGTACATTTTTCTGTTTTGAGTTTGGCAAAATCTTGGGGACTTTTTGGTAATACTACGATTAATCCACTAGTATTGTTTTTCTCTCATCACTTGAAATGCACCTTTGTTTAAAGCTTTAAAGATTTTCATTCGTTGTGCCTGCTGCGTTAGAAAGTATGCCATTAGGGTTATGAAATGAGCCTTCGTCTTCCAGAGAAGGGGAATCGTGTGTTGACTTATAATTGGGTAACATGTGCCAACATGGCTTGGTTCACAGAGAGACGCTGATGTGGGGCAAGGTGGTTGACGACACTGAGTCTCAGTTTTCTCATCTGTAAAATGAGCAAGTTGAGACCCCTACGGAGTCAAGAAGTAAAGAGATGGATGAGGCCGGGGGGGGGGGACATAGTTTACACATAACCAGTGAGGGGCATTCTAGAATTCAGGCCCAGTGTGCCAGAATCACTTTAGGAGAGTAGAAATCCAGTTTTTATGAGAAACTTTTCCCAGCTACGTGGGAGGCTGAGGCAGGAACATTGCTTGAGCCCAGGAGTTTGAGGTTACTGTGAGTTAGACTGATGCCACAGGACTCTAGCCTCAGCAATAGAGTGAGATTCTGTCTCAGAAAAAGATAAATAAAAAACCTTTTCAAATTCTAAATATTAGCCACCAAGTCAGAACTTCACAAAAGACATAGTATGGGCCAAACAAGGCATACATGAGAGCTAATATAACCTCTGGGCCATCTTTTGTGTCATCTTTGTGCTATGCTAGTGAAGGACCTGTTTTGCTCTAAGTTTTTCCAGTTCTACTTTCACATTTCTCAAAACAGGGCCATAGCAGTGGTGTTAACTCTACAGGCCAAGTTTAGACAGTGTGGAACTGCCCTCCCACACAGTTTGTACTCAGGGTGAAATACCTCTGCTGCTTTGCTCAAACTTTCAGTCCCAGGCCGGCTAGAGCTATTCAGGGAATCCCCAGGGCCCAGCTCAACCACATGAGTCGGGCAGGCACTCTGCTCCTGCCTCGGGAACCAGAAATGGACTCACAGGGGCAGAATGCCCCCTATTTGAGTTACAGGTGAAGTGAGGTTCACAGATTAAGATATCATGGTCTATCCTTCCTCTTTTTGCCTTAAAATTTTAGGCAGAACATATGAAAAGCTGAAAAACAGCTGCATTTAGATGATGACTTCTCACCTGATTTCATTTTTAAATTAAAGAAAATTCAGTAGAGGGCAGCACCTGTGGCTCAAAGGAGTAGGGCGCCAGCCCCATATACCAGAGGTGCAGAGGTGGCGGGTTCAAACCTGGCCCAGCCAAAAAAAATAAAATAAAATAAAAGGAAATTCAGTAGAATTAGAAAACATTTCAAACAAACAAAAAGTAATGTAAGACAGTAATTTCTATCCCTGAGATTAAGCAAATGTTAATAAGCTTTGGCTTGTTTGCTCTCAGATTTCCTCCTTTGGGGAAGAAGAAAGTATGACTACAGGAAGTCATACACACATTCCTTACTCCCTGGTCCAGCCCCAAAGTTTATGCCTATCATTACCCCGCACAGTTTTGGATTCATCCTCTGTGTGTGTGTGTCCTCTATAAAAAATAAATACTATCGTTTTGTGGTCTTTCAAATGTAATAAATAGTTCCGCGTTGTACATATCTATCGGAGCTGACTTTTTATTACTCAGTGCGATGTTTTTACACTTTGTTCATGTTGGTCATACGGATGTGATTTATCTGTAGTAATAGTTGCTGCATAGTGTCCAGTTATATAAATAAATCATGGTTTATTGTTCCCTCACCCTAAACAGAATAAGTTTGTCTTCACGTTTTCATTTTACAAATTTTCCATGCATATCTTGATATATGTATCACTGTGACAATGAGAATTTGAATTCCTAGGTAGTTCATAGAGAAAACATTTTAAATTTATATAGGAATTGTCAAATTGATCTCCAAAAGGGTTATACCAGCAATGTACCAGAGCACCTGTTTCCCCATTTCTTTGGCAAAACTTGGCCTGCTTAGGTATTAATGGGTGTGGAGGGAGATCTACTATGAGTAGTGAGTTTGTAAACCTTTTCCTATTTTAATTGACCATTTATGATCCCCTCAGTGGGAACTGCATGTAAAATTTTCTGCCTACTTGTCTATCATGGACTTTGCCTCTTGTTGCACATTAGGTGTTGTTTATATATTTAGATTACCAAACTTCTGTTATTTCAGTGTATGGCAAATCTTTCATGACAATCTTGGGTTTATCTTTTCATTTAGTTATATTTAATGTATAATTTTTTTTACCATTATCTCAAGTTTTTCTGTCTTTCTTTGATATTTCATCTTTTGTAGCTTGTCAAAGAATCCTTTCTTTTCCTAGGATATAAAAATATTCTCCTACATTAAAGAAAAAAATTTTACAGTTTAAATCTTTTACAGTTCAGTATCTTAATCCTGGAAGTGTTTCTATTTATGGATTCTGATTTTGTCTTTTTCCATATATGCAACAGTTTGTCATATTTATGGAATAGAACATTCTTTCTCTCAGTGTTTCACAGTGGTTTATCTGCAAAAATGTGTCCCAAGCACTCATTTCTATGCATGTCTATAGCTAAGCTTTTTATTCCGTGAATCTAATTTGGGGGG